AACTGGCTCAACATACATACTGTATATGCGATATCTGGCCTTGTGGATACAGCAAGATATAACAAGGAACCTATCAGGGATTGATAGGGGTACGTTTTCATTTCTTCATCTGATTTTTCTTCAGGTAGTTTGAGTTTCACATTAGGATCCAATGGTGTAGATATTGATTTACAATTTGTCATTCCATATTTCTCCAGAAGATTCTTGATGAACTTTTTCTGTGACATCATTATTAATCCTTCTCTTCTTACAAATTCAATTCCCAGAAAATGATGAATCGGACCCATATCTTTCAATTCAAAAATGTTTGACAAATTTTCTTTCACATTAGTCATCCAAATGTCACTGTTACTTGCAATCATAATGTCATCAACATAGATCGCTATGATCAAAATTTGATTCTCGTTCTTCGAATGATATACACAGGGATCTGCATTTAGTGGTTTCATTTTCAATTTCTGCAATTCAGTATCTAATTTTTTATACCACTGTCTTCCTGATTGACGAAGTCCATATTATGCCTTTTTGATTAAACATGCTTTTTCCTTATCATTCGCTCGAATTTTCTGCAACCAAGTCTTGGATGTGTTTAATATATTGTTCTGAGCTGTTCCTTCTTCAATGATCTCTTCGAGGACTTCTTCGAGTAGATCTGGGATTCTCATGTATACTTCTTCCTCTAATTCTCCATTCAAATATGCCGTGACTACGTCCATTTGATGAATTATCAAATTATATTCAACTGATAAAGCCATAAGTAGTCTAATTGAACTAGCTCTAACGACTGGAGCAAACGTCTCGTGAAAATCGATATTTTCTTGCTGAGCATAGCCTTTCGCAACCAGTCGAGCTTTTCTTCTTTCAATTGTTCCATCTGCATTGAATTTATTTCGCAGTATAAGTTTAGATCCAATCATTCTTCTATTCTCGGGTAAGTTTACTATCTCCCAAGTTTGGCATTTTATCTGAGCTATGAACTTTCGATTGCCATTCTCCAATCTCTAGAATCAGGACCCATCAGAGCTTCTTCTAAATTTATTGTGTCAGTGACTTGACCCATTCCCGCGAATTCAGCAAACTGGTCATCATCATGTTGTGTCGTATTTGTTACCATCTTGTATTGTTTTCGTGGTCTACCTCTACATCCTGTTCTGATGATTGTAGGTCTTCCACGTCCTCTGGTCATTTCGCTTTCACCTTCATTTTCTGGTAGTTCTTCTTCCTCTTCATGAATGTTCAAGTTTCCTATTTCTACGTTTTCATCGGTATTTTCATTTACCGTTTTGGTTTCTACATCAGCGATAGTTAATTCCAAATGATTTTTCGTACTATCATTCGATGATTTTGATAAAACTTCTTCCGAAATGAATTCATCATATTCTTCAGAACAGAAATTTTGAGTAAATTTGACGTCTCGACTGACAATGATTTTCTTGGTATCTGGATTATAAAGACGATATGCTTTACTTTCATTTGAATATCCCACGAAGATACATTCACTTGAACGTGGTTCAAATTTTCCCTTACAGGGTGATTTATTTAGGACATATGCCTTACAACCAAATATATTGAAATGACTTGCAGTCGGACGTTTTCCGGTCCATATTTTATGAGGTGTTTCCCCTTTCAAACATCTTGTTGGACATCGATTCCTCACGTAATTCGCCATGTTTATCGCCTCTCCCCAAAAACAGTTAGGTAGCTTGGATTGTATCAAATTACATCTTGCCATTTCAACTAAAGTTCTGTTTTTTCGTTCGGCAACTCCATTTTGTTCTGGAGTATTGGGTACTGTGAGTCTTCTTTGAATTCCATTCACTACCAAGAAAGTTTCGAATGATTTATTGCAATATTCTCCTCCATTGTCACATTGTAGCATTTTTATTTTCTTCTCAGTATGATTTTCGACGAACATTTTGTATCGTTTGAAGGCATCAAATACTTCGTTCTTATTTTTCAAAAGGTATACTTCACACCATCTGGATTTATCGTCTATGAAAGTAACGAAATATCTTGCACCGCCCAGTGATTTGATTCTCATCGGTCCGCATACATCCGAATGTACGATTTCCAACAATTCACTAGTTCTTTCTTCGTTTCTTACAGGAAATGAGGTTTGTGCTTGCTTGCCTTTGATACAGATACTACATTGGGGTAATTTTTGATTCTTTGAGAATTTAACACCAAGAACAGTTTGATTTTCAACTATGTTTTTCAATGTTCTTTCGTTCAGGTGCCCAAATTTGTAATGCCATTCTACTATTGTTGATTTTGGCATTTCTTCAGTACTGCTTGCATTCGCCTCTTCTGGATTTTGTCTCAGGAAATATAGATCACCAATTCTGTCTGCTAAAGCCACTATGTCATTATGTTCATTCAGAATCATTGCTCCATTCTTACAGAAAAGAACTTCGTTACCATTGTTGGTTATCTTCGATACTGACATCAAATTTGTTCTTAGATCTGGCACGTGCAATGCATTTTTCAGTAAAAGAGTTTTTTCTTTCTCTCCATCATTACTAACCAGTTTTATTTCTCCAATTCCTTTTATTTCCGTACATCCATTGTTCGCTAGATTCAATGATTTTGAAATATCTTCAAGGCATGTGAAATTATCTTTATTTGCTGTCATATGTGATGTACATCCGCTGTCTAAACACCAATCGCTTCCATTATTATTGCCAATGTTCAGTACGATTTCTTCTTCGATTTGGTCTTCATCTGCCTGACTAGCAATGTATTTATTGATTTTTCTTCTACAATTTGCGAATGTGTGTCCCACAGTATGACATCTATGACATTTGTATTTGAAATCACTTTTCACAGGTTCTTTTTCTCTTGAGGTATCCTTCTTGAAATAGTTCTTCTTTCCAGCGTACATAGCTCCTGATATACTTTCGTTGTTTTTGTCTTTCCTTGCTTCATATTCTTCGATTATCTTTATTTTGAGACCGCCTATCGTTGATGCAACCACCCCAATCAGCATCTGCGTAGCCAGATATACTCTCATTTGATTTTTCAAATTGCAGGCAAAATCCCATCGTACCTTTCATGTAGCGTAATACTCTTTTCGCCATATCCCAATGTTCTTTTAGATAATTCGAATTGAACTGGCTCAACATACATACTGTATATGCGATATCTGGCCTTGTGGATACAGCAAGATATAACAAGGAACCTATCAGGGATTGATAGGGGTACGTTTTCATATTCTTCTGGCAAACTATAAAGAAGCATGATAGCCAACAACTCTTCATTGATGTGAAGATCCATCTCTTGTAGTTTATCGACAATATCAAAAAACTGTGATATATGGCTTTTAACATCTCCATTTTCTCTCAACTTATTCAGAGTTAACTGCTTCAGCAATGTTGCTTTTCTAGCAGGGCCTTTTGATTGGTATATGGTTTCTAATTTCTGCCAAATTTCACGAGAGGTCTTACAATTTTTTATTTGTTTCAGCTCCATGGGGCTTATCGAAAGAATGAGATCAGATTTTGCTTTCTTATCCAGTATTTCCCATTTTCTGATATTTTCTTGAGATTCTTCATTTCCCACTATCAATAATGGTTTGGATATTGATCCATCGACGTATCCCCATAGATCGTTTTTCGTTAAAATTGCTTCCACTTGTAGTTTCCAAGTGTCATAATTTTCGTTTGTGAAAACTTCAATTTTCACTAAATTTCCACTCATAGTTACTTCTATATATTCGATTCGGTTATTCTGGGCCCATAACCTATTGTAACTTCTTGTAAAACTCGGTGAGAATATGAATTTGAAAATTTCCGTGTTAATTATTTATTTCATTAAATAACAACTGAACTAAAAAACATTTCCATCTCCATGACATAACATAAGAACTCATACATGTTGAAAACATCATCAATCTTTGATCTTCTCAACACTATTGACGTGAAATTTCAGAAAATTCCCGAATATTGAATTTGGTTCAACAAAACAATTTGTCGAATGGATATATATTTTCTCCTGAATCAACAAAATATTTCATTGAATTAACCAAATATTTCATTGAATTAACCAAATATTCATTGAATCAACCAAATATTTCTTTGAATCAACCAAATATTCTGTTAAATCAACTAAATATTTGATTGAATCAATATCTTGTTCTTTTGAATCAAACAAAATGTTTGTTTGAGTCAATTCAATATCTCTTCATAAACAATTGATGGATGTGCTTGATTGAAGAAGATCCAGAGTTCATGCAAGACATATTTACTTGATTCAAATTTCAAATTCGCTCTGAAACAAGATATAGATTTACTCATTTCAAGATTATATTTTGTCGTGCATATATGACACTTTTATTTGCTCCATTCAATTAAATTTTGCTTGATTCAACAATTCCTTTTTTTCCGGGTATGTTCTGAATATGCATTGTTAACTCAATTGTGTTTATTCACTCAAACCATATAGTGATATAGAGAATAGAAAAGGACAGGAATTGAGCTGTGTCCGAACTCTTATCTAGCTAATACCATGCAGTGACTATAGTACCAACCATTACCAATACCATAGAATTTTGAATCTTTCGATATAGACTAGGCACGTTTTCAAAAATTAACAATGCAAGAAGCATTTCATGTAACAATTGGGGAAACAACGTTTTTAAGGTATTTCGACCCCGCTGAATACGAATCTGCCTGTTGCCAAAGCGAAATTTGGACCGGAAGTCCGGTATCCAAGATGGCGGCCGAGATGGTGGTCAAAACTCTGTTGCTCCATATCACCCATGTCCGTTGGCTTGTAATAATGGTTCAAACATCTGCTTAGGGGTTTTCCCAGATGCTTGATACTTTGCAGTGCTTGAAATTTATTTACCCCAAGTTATGAGTGCATGGGCTTCAAGATGGCCGCTGAAGGAAGTGAAGGAAATGACCATTCCAGAGTTCAAACACTGTTTATTGCAGGATTGTGGAAAGATAATGAAAAAATAGTTCGGTAGCTGATGGAAATAGTACGAAAATGATAATTGATCAACCATTTGAAGAGTTAAGACATTGGTGAGAGCGGTGGCACAGCTTGGTGCAAGTCAGTCCATTCTTCTTGCACGTGCACATTGTTGTCAGGCAGTGGCACAAACAATTACAGGTTGAAATATCCGTGCAAGCTTTGGGAACGGGCTCAAGTGTCATAAGGATGGGAATGTACTCGTCTTGGTGAAGCCTCCACCCATATGACTCAGGATCCATCACCTCCGGTCGGGCATGATGAGCATTTTCCCACACGTTCACCTGAAATGTTTTTTATTATAATTACCGAAAAGCAACTGGTTATACTGATCACAGTATGCTTTCCATCATTTCTTTACCTGGTAATGGCATCTTAGGAGGTGTAGCCGCAGCGCATCGCTTGTTGGAGGTAAGGCTTCTGGCTTTTTCACAACACCAAAAAGTTTATATCTGGCTTCATCCCCACTAGATACATCTTTAGTCACCTGCTAATAGAAATAGAAACGTTATAATTGATACTTGGACTTGCTGAAACACCTGAGAAAACTTTACCGACCTTATAGAGCTGAACGAGAAACTTCTCTGCATTCGCCTTTGATGAGGGAGTTAGTGGAGAGTGCCCTAGGTTGTCTAAAAGTTGGCAGGCCGTTCCATTGAAGACTTTCCACGATGCTTTCTTCGTTATCGTTGCAAGGTGAAACGTCGAGTCGCAACCCGTAACTGTGTGGAACGCCAAGATGTTCTTCTTTTGAACATTAGGGAGAATGTTGCAAATCTCATGTATTGGGAAATACTTCCTTTCTTCCGCTGTGCCACTCATCAGCCACACTTCAGAACTGGTCATTTTGTAAAAGTGATGGATCAACAGCAAACAAATGTCGGTATCCCTGGTCATGATGACGATGTTGTCAGCTTCAGAGTGGACAGCATATAGTACAACGCGTGTATCGGCCTCTTCATGTGTCGCTGCTAGAGAACTGACGTCGGATTCGAGGTTGGTTGATCGCACATCTTCTTCATGTATGAGTCCTCCGGAGACAACAACTTCGATGTCATTGAAGACATGTTGGAGAACTTCCTGAGAGAGTAAAAGGGCTAGGTCGGCCTTGTTGTCCCCCAGTGCTAGAAAATTCTTCCAATTTTTGGCAGTGGAATGGCTGCACTTGTGATGTCCCTTCTGACTGAAGCAGCTCCCATGGTCCGCCTGCAGCGGGTGCCAGTTTTAATTGACTTGGGACGATACCGGTCAAAAAGGATGTCGACTCTGGCATACGGTCTTCCAAGGTGAACCACCCTGTCAATGAATATTGCCGAAAGTAGTGGCAGTTGCTGGTTTCCCTATGCTGTTTACTAAAGCTTGACCGTCTATAATTAGTTGCGAAGTGTTCTGATCAATGTTAATGAAGTTTGAGCATTCCACGCCTTCAGCAACGAGTTTTATCATCGATGCTTTTTCAGACGATCTGAGGGTGCCATCCATTTCCGCTATCGATAAAGGTACTGGAAGAAGCTCGTGCTTCAAAATGGAGGGCAAGTCAATTTTTCTGCCTACTTCGAAAGCTACAATTAGTCGACGTGAAACATCCCTGTCAGCCTCTACAACCTTTTTCCGATCTTTAGTGTCCTTAACTTTGAAGAGGTCTGAGAGAGTTGAAGCAGAGTTTTTTGGTATTCCAGCATAAAAACTTTTGACAGGTTTTTCAGACGACTCTTGAACAATAAGGCGCTGATTAACAAAGTTGATAACCAGATCTGATCCGCGCTTCTTCGCTTCAAGGAGCGATGTCTGAATTTCTTTGGTTGCCCGGTCTTTAGTGGCGACGTTGCAGACACTTGAGCTAGGAGCCGTAGGGTCCATCAAATGGAATGACTGCATAACCTTGAGGAGTGCATCTTTATCAGAGTTATCTCTTTTTCTTTGTATTGCTTGAGAATTCCTTTTTTGATAGAGATATGAAGGGCAGATTTGTGCATTCCTTACTACTTGAGCATCTCAACTGGGTCCTCCGAGATGCACAAGTACTAGAGGATCTGCCCTCCATTTCTCTATCTATCAAGGAGTTTTCAAGCCATAATATGTAACAAATACAGTAATAGTCTACGTACTAAGTATATATTTAACCACTAAAAACTGTATATCTGACAGATATTGCACTCCAAATACAAGAATACGTTAACAATAAAGCTTCGGCGACCATCTTGGTCGACATTTTGGAACCCACGCACTCCAGGCTCAGGGTGAGTAATTTCTGAGTATTTCAATATGATAAGCATCCGAGAAAACCACTAAGCCGGCGTTTGAATCTATATTTTGAGCCAACCGAAAATGAATAAGATATGAGGCAACAGTGTTTTGACCACCATCTCGGCCGCCATCTTGGATACCGGACTTCCGGTCCAAATTTCGCTTTGGCAACAGGCAGATTCGTATTCAGCGGGGTCAAAATACCTCATTAACGTTGTTTCCTCAATTGTTACATGAAATGCTTCTTGCACTTTATAGAGATGGATTTCGTGCTTATGGGCCTGGTCATAGCTTTCTTGCGCATATTGCTCAACCGAATCAGAAAAAGAATTGACCGTTGTATAGAAATACTTCTCTAACAATGTAGAACATTTCGAAGGGGTTAGTTCATCATATAGGTTTCCACTCTGTATAACTTCTCCTGATGTCTCGTTATCTATAACTGAAAATTTTGATGTATACAAAATTGATCGTTGATGATCCCTATTTGGGATCAATTTGTCAAAAGATGAAAAAAATTCAGGATATAACTTCATCAGTTGAGGCGATCCATATCATGGTGAACTAAGTAGCTCGATTCTGAAAATTCGTATGGACGGTGAAGAACATGGAGAATCTAACTATGGTATTTTATAATAAAACTACAATAAGACACTATTTTCTGGCATGCGTTGTTCAGAGTATGCGACGAGCGAAGCGAGGAGTGGTCATAAAAAACACCACTGCGACAATATGTCTAATGAAACGTGTGTAATATAATATTCTTTCTATTTTACATTTATTTGCACTCTTTTATTCGAGAAAATTCAATCAATAAAATCATCAAATATTATAAGTGTATAGAGTAAGTAGTTATTAACAATGACAATGACATTTGAATGTTTATTCTCCGATAACACAAATCGTTGTGTCAATGTGTTCAAGAGTTTGACGTTAGCATTACCTACTTTGGGTTGGGTTTTGGGTATAGGGAAGTTAACTAGAACTAGGGCTCATTTTTATTGAAGAATTGAATCATGAGAAGAAAAATTGGGTTCTAATTTGAGGAAAAGAGATTTTCACTATTTCCCATTCACTTTTAGGACCTACTTTTCTGCGCACCATGTAAATTATTCAGTGGTTGTGACTATATGTTTAGTGATTCGTTCAACTTTCAATATTCACGATATAATCACTGAATATCACAAGAAATTGCAATTCACATAAATATGGGCTATGTTGGATATGCTGCAACAATTGTCACTTTTTCTGGACAAACTCGATTTTTTCATTGCTTGAAGTGCACGAGAAGAAAATTAGCATTCCGTGAGTTGAGAAATCTACTATTTTTATGACTTTAACATAAAATAGCGAGATAATTCAACAACAGGAATCGCAAAAAATACAAATTCAGTGTGATACAAAAATGGAGCTGTCGTCAGGCGAATATTCATTGACATTTTGATGTGGATCGCGTGATTTATTGTATAATAATGATCATGCACAACTGTGAAGAAATAATAGTTTAACCAAGTGAATAAATGAGATTGGAGACATACAATATACTTCATTGTTTCACTGAAAACAGTTGAGAAAGATCAGTTTTGTGTTATAGACGTAGAAAAAATGGAATGAGGCACCAGCGCAGGATATGTTGTCAGTGACAGCACAACATATGAGCATATTTTTTTTCGCTGTAGTGTTTTGCTGTTTCATCGCCGAATTATTCTTGTGGAGTTTGTTCCGCTGAATTTGTTTCATGTTATGCGCCATATTGCAGTAACAGCTTAAAACGAAACTAGCATTGTCCCTTCATATGTTCATCTTCATAATAAGGGATCACGTGACATGTTAAAATCGATTATCAGGCTGTGAGATATGGACAATTGATGACCTAGGATACCGTTTTCAATACTGTATACGAACTACTCATTCAGATGAAGGGGTTAGCTCAGGATACGCAGTGCATCTGAGAAGCGTAAAATGTCAAACATGTTTAAGGCAATTCTGGTCGATGATAAAAAATGTTGATCGATATATTGTTGGTCGTTGACACCCTGTGAATGAACATGCGAGGTATCGAAAATGGACAATTGTTTTAATTTTCAGTGAAATGACTGTCATACGACCATTAGAATCGGATGTGAAGGGATGCTACGCTGAAGAAATGTTGCAGAAACATTGGGGACCAACACATTCAGTCAAAGTATTCCGGGAACCTAATAAAAGTTTGGGAATCAACATCGTTGGAGGAAAGGTATTACGGTATTACTAAGGACATTATCGCATATTATAGTGAATATACATTATCACCAAAGAAGTGCTCATCAAATTGTATAATAATTTTTCAACTTGTCCAGCGAAATACGTTTTACAAGTATATCTTTTAGTATTGAATATTATTTCAGGAATGTGAATAAAATTTGCAAGTGATCAGTGGCGTATACAGTTTTGGGGAAGCTGAAGCTTAACTAAGCTATATACAGTATGATGCAAATGTATGGAATAAATTCATTTCAAAACAAGACGACTTTCGAAAACAAAAACAAAAACTAGAGTTTAGAATTTTTTTTTCGACGTAGCAGACCTCTGCAAGATTCAATTAATCACATGATAATCCATTATAATTTCAATCTTCTTATGCAACATTCTGACTGTTGAATAGACGATCGGTAGACCTTTCAATCAAGGTGTCACATGACATGTCACTACTTGTATTTGAAAAAATCGTCCATTACGTCTTTACTCCAACACCGGTGACGTAACATCTCTCATATGGATATCATGAGATGAGCCTTCAGAAATTAAAACTCACGTGTTTTTAGAATTTTTTCAAATGTCGCCCATTTCTGAAATAATGAATTTATTCCATACATTTGCAGCATACTGTATATATATAGTATATTATAGTTTACTAGGGCTCGGGATCGCACGTTAAAAGGTAAAAACTTGTAATTTCTAGGATCCCTTGATGTGAATTGACGTATTTGTAGGGTACAGGGTACGGACAGATCCTCGTCTCCTCTCACTCTAAAGTGTTTGTGAAACAGTTATATAGTTGCATCTTTATTCATTTCTGGGGACAAACACTAGATTTCTGACATTTGTTCTTTTTAGGTTATATTGAGGCATAGATCTAAATAGACACGAGGACATTGACGTATCATACGTAATTTCTACATGTAATTTCTCATTCAACTCTACATATTATATCCAAATGATGATGATAATTTTCGAGTTTCTGATTTTTCAACTCCAGCATAATCTTTGTGAGGCAGTGAGCATTATTTTTTTCTGAAAGTTCAATTCGTTTCACCAAATGGGACTGTTCTTAGGCAGTACCTATCAATCAATGACTGAGCCTTATGGTTGAGAAATGGTGATAAATTTTATGTGGGTAATCAAACCAATGTGCTCATATGTCATGTGTGCTGTATATATTCATGTTGGGAATCATTTTTGCAGTTTTTCACGAACACTCAATATTTCCTGAATGTAGGTACCTATAATTTTTCAAATGGTAGGGCTTATGCCTTTTCTTTTGATCCTCCGTTTTGATCATAACTGTTTCTACTGAAATGCATTCAAAAACTTGTGGAGCCGAAAATTATTATAGGCACAATGAGAAATTATAATATGTAATTTCGAAACCAAGGTCACTAGATGATTAAAAGAGAAAAGAGCTATGATATGTCCGTACCCTGTTAGATGACAAATACGTCAAGTAATTGTTGCCGATTATTTCAAAATCTGCAGACATCCAGAATTTTTGTCGGCGATGCAATTGCCCCCTGGCCCCCATCTGTATCCGCCACTGCAGGTGGTACTATCTCATATTTGTTTGGTTGATACGAGGTTTGACATATCTCTTCTATGAAACCTTCCTCTGAATACACATTTTCTCACGTTGAGACAGCAAAACCTTTGAATCAATTATATTTCAATATGGTTTCTTGAAAACTCGAAGATGAAATTTGAAAATGTAATCAATCTTGCTATGTATTGCGTTGTAGGGTTGATTGCTTCTATTTCAACAAATGTAATTTAATGTTCGACGAGGCAAATAGCCAGGGAAATAGTTGTTTTCTGTTGAATCTATCGATTAATATCATATACCTGAACATATATATTTTTATTTGTCAGAAAAGGCAAGTTCTCAGCTACAGAAGATTTAATTTAAAATTTCAAATGTATGTGTTTGATAGATATAGTTCAATGTTCGTCTTGGCATATAGTCATGATAGTAGTTGTTTCCTGTTGAATATATCGAGAAAGAATTCATGTTTTTATCAGATCGAGTATGCGAATTCTCAATGTATTTTTCAATAAGTTTTTTGTCGTTCAAACAGTTCATGGTTCTTCAAATACTCTGCATACGTTCTGTGGTACTAAGGCAGAACCCGATAATATGTCATGAAATATCGAATTCACGTTTTTAATGCTAATATATAATAGGTGCAGAGAATATGATGGCAAAACCCGATATACGTATCTGAAGCTCTAACACCTCTTAGGTATATAAAATAAGATTCCGATTTGTTCCTTATACAAAAATTGGTGAAGGCAAAACACCATATATCGGGTTCTGGCGTCGTCAAGTGATATAGCATAATATCAATAATGTGAATCTGCTTATCGGACCATGAAAGATCAGAGCAGACTGCTGAAATACCCATCATGGTGCCTCGAGTCTGGTTTCGGAGGGTAGAAAAGTGAACTGGCTCGAAATGAAATAGATCAGCTATGAAAACATCTCTGGTGTAATCCAAATCAAAACTTACTTGATGATGAACACTTCAGATTGATCGAGCTAAGACGGTTTGAAAAAACGGGTAATTCACCTATACTTGATGACATCTCATGGACCACTTCCCACCAATCTCCTAATAGAACAGGGCCTACATTGTCTTCGTCTACTGATTCAATCTGAGTGCCACAGGTTTAAGTTGGGTCTGGAGATAGTGGAAATCAGTGTCAGAGCAGCAGAATTGCCAGAAGATCATTCTGAAGGAAGCGAATGACGTTTTTATGAATTAAAATCAAATTGCTGAAATGAAAATGAGTTACTTTGCATGTTTTTCCATGTTGATGTTGTTGGTGCGTCCTTGAAGGGTATGCATATACCATATACTTCTCAAAATCACCTTCATTCACTGTAAGCTCTCATCTGATAATGAAGGAAATAGAAAATGATTGCAGTTAGAATAATGACAAGAAGAGAGCAATCCCCAATGGGGTTGTACATACTAATATAATTGATGTCACGTACCTATTTTATATTCTTTAGTCAATGTATAGATAGTATTTGATGCTGATTACATTCATAATCATATTTGATTATTTCCATATATCTATACATAATATGATGCACATGCACTTCATTGGTGAGAGTGAATAAAAAGAATCTCTATAACTCCTTAATCCTTGCTGAAACATATTACATTCAATTATGTTTGTTGTTTGTGTAGGTTGATCTACAATCACCTGAAAGCTATTCCGATAGTACCCTTCTTGGCATATTCGTGAAAAATGTCGTGCCTAACAGTCCAGCAGGAAAGACTGAAGAATTCAAGGTAAATAATTATATCATTTTGTCAAGCGTATATGTGATGGACAGTTTCTGGTATAAAAAATCATATTCCAGAAGTTGTCAACAGTATCATATCATGATGTTCTGAATATCCGAGATGATTATGTAGCTTTGTTAATCACGGAATTGTATTACTGTACGGCTACACAATTGAGTTAACAGGGGTATGAGAATATATTCAGAACATATAGTGGTACTTTACCAAACTATAAAAAAAAACTATAAAAATAATTTATTATAAACATTTATTTTATCCAAAGCGATTCATTCTGACGTCTACAGGAACGATTATTTTATGTCGAATCCGTTTGTTTGGCCCCTCGCGGAATCAGTCAGAAGAAATTTCACCAACAGTTCATTCCCACCACTCTCCAAAGCAAAGCTGATGGCACACAAGCAACAACATCGCAAGAGAAAGCGAACATTTTTGCAGAGATGTTCGCAGCAAACTCCACCTCAGAATTACTAGGTATTCCACCCGTTGAAAGTAGAATGCCCAAAATGTTTATCCGTGAACGAATCATCAGATGCATTGTGCTTGGTCTCAAGACAAATAAGGCTAACGGTCCTGATGGAATTCCACCCATTATTCTCGAACAGTGTGCACCAAAATTGACACCAATTCTCCGCGAGTTATTTACAATCTCGTACAAGTCAGGGGTTTTTCACTGGAAAATAGCTAGAGTCCAACCAATCCCGAAAAAAAGAAACAAAAACCTGCCCAACAACTATAGGCCTATATTGCCTTTTTATATCAGATATCTCTAAAGTGATGGAGGAAGTCATCAACATTGAGCTTATCAAATATCTGTGAAGTTCAAGAATCATTGATGATAGACAATATGGCTTTTGTCTTCGAAGATCAGGAAGAGATTAACTTGCCTATATACGTCCTTTATATATGGCAAGCTTCATTAGAAAAACATTGGGAATATCTAGCTGTGGCGTTGGATATATCGAAAGGATTCGACCGTGTTTGGCACTTTGGACTCCCCCGCAAATTATCGTCATATATCATCATAAACTGAATTTCAATCGGAATGCAGTGTTCAGAAGATGCTCCCTTTCTCTTAAGGATTCTTCGTTCGAAATTTTTCGAAGGTTTCCACTTATGACATACCAAGTGGTCAAAAAGAGTGTTACATACGCAAAAAAGTTTAGGTGTTCCCATATTCCCTATACAGGAATGTTTTTATCCTGCTATACAAATCGGGTACATATATTTCGTCAGATCGTATTGTATCAAAACCGTATTTCATCAAATCGAATTCTATCATAATGGCATTCTGTAGAAACTGTACTTCATAGAACCAATAATTCATCAAAATATAAAGGATCATAATGTATCTCATCATACAGTTAAACAAAGAAATGTACTTCATAGAGAAGTAAAACATCATACCTTATTTTTTAGAATTGGTAATCCATCATAACCGTATTCCATCGAAACAGTAAATCATCAAAATCGTATTATATCGAGACAATATCGTATAGAACCTGTTGAGCATCGAAACGGCAATTCTTCAGATCCGTATTTCATCAAAACATCAATCTATCAGAGTGAACACTCATCGAATTCGTAATTAAGCGAAACCGTAATTTGTAGAAACCGTAATTCGCCAGAACCGTATTTCATCAAATCAATAATCCATCATAACCGTATTTCGTAGAATCGGTAATTCATCAGATTCGTATTTCATAGAAACAGTAATTCATCAAACCCGTATTTTATCAAAACGTCAATTCATCATATCCGTATTTCATAGAACCAGTAATTTGTCAGCCCCGTATTCTATAGAAACGGTAATTCATCAGATCCGTATTTCATAGAATCAGTAATTCATCGAACCGGTATTTTATAGAAACGAAAATTCATCAAACCCGTATTACATAGAATCTGTTATTTGTCAAACCCGTATTTTATAGAAACGGTAATTCATCAAATCCGTATTCCATAGAATCAGTAATTTATCAAACCCGTATTTTATCAACATTAATTCTCCATATTGAATAACTGGTAATTCAGCAGATCTGTATTTCATAGAAACCGTAACTCGTCGACACCGTATTTTATCGGACGGTAAATCATCGGATCAGGTTGAAATCGAAATGTTACAGGAAACTGCATTGCAGTGACTCGCCAAAGTAGATTTAGATAGTTGAGTAGGACACGCACAGATGTCGCAGCTCGATAGTGAAGTATAGTAAAATACTGTCGAGAATTATTGATTTCACAGGAACAGCAAGAGATTCATTCGTTCATAACTTTAATTCAAATACTCGATGGCAGGGTAGGTACCTAAACGAACAATCAAATCTTGCCGATATTTCGTGAAGTTGATGTACACAGCAATTTCCAAACATTCGAGAATAATTGAATGTTGCAATTATGTTATGTTATAGAACTGACATGGGTATTTCGACATCGTTTTCGAAATAGGTATATTATTTCATTATCATTCATTATTATGATTGAACGAACCACTACTTTTCACTGTAGTGATTTATGATCGATAGGTACATCCATAAATACTTGGGAAGGAATCAGGCCAGGCCTGAATAGGTACCTATACCTAGGTGTTATATTTTGAACATTTTATTTTTACCAGGTGCACATCAATGGGAGCTAGAAGGGGTGATCCCAGACAGCACTAGATATTCCATGAATATTCATAGAATATTCTTTTTGGATATTGCGAATATTCATGAACATGCCAGGGATATACATATCAACTATGGAATATTCCCTGAATGTGCTGGTGGGGAAAATTTTGTATATTCCCGGAATATTACACAAGGAATATTCCCTATATATTCAGAATGTACCTATAATATTCTAGGAATATTCAGATAATATTCGGAATATTCCTGGGATAATACAGGAATATAAATAAATGAATATTCCGGGAATATTCCGTAATACATATTCATAATTAAAAAAAGCTGACCCAAGATGGGCTCGAACTCGGGACTTTCAGACTGTCAGATCAACGTCTTAACCACTTGGCCAGTAATCTAGTTGAATAATAATGTACATAACAATTTATTGAATTGCGTTGTTCAGAAGGGAACCATAAACACTTCCAGTTCCATATAGGCTCTTAACATGTACGATGATCTGATTGAGTACTTTGATCACTATCAAAATTGTGGAGACGACTTTTTGTTTTTGATCCCTGGTAACATAACCACTTCACTTCGAAATACGATGGACTTCTACCACAGATTTCAAAATCAATGTTTAATACTCACATCTATAAAATTGTGATTGGTTAATTTTCATACTTCACAATTTCATTGAAACACATGGGAATATTATTGAAATATTCCATGAATATACAGGAACAGAATATTCAATTAAGAATATTCCTGGAATATTCATACCTGAATATTCCCTGCACTATCCAACTGGAATATTCTAGGAATATTCACTTCAGAATATTCCTTCTGGAATATTCCCTGTATATTCATTTTGGAATATCACTAGAATATTCACATTTGAATATTCCATGAATGTTCCAGAGGCACGTATATATTCTAAGAATATTCGAAGGATATTCGGAATATATTCTTCCCTTTCAGCATATTTACAGAATATTCTAGGAATATCCAGTGCTGTCTGGGATTACCCCCCTCAGAAAGCAGGAAGGGTAAATCCAAGATCGCGGATCCCATATGGCGGACGAATTTTGTAATTATGATTCAAATCTATTCAAAATTTTTATCTGCGGGTTCTCGGGATCAGAAATTCTTATTCTTTCATCGAAATTTGAAAATTCAAGAAGGCGGATCCAATATGGCAAACGAGTTTTCTAATTATTATGATCCGCTTCTATTCAAAATTGGTATCTGGATTGAAAGGGTTTTCGAGGTCGGAGATTATGATTCTTTCGTCTAAATTGGTAAATTCAAGATGGCGGATCCAATATGGCGGATGATTTATTTCATTCGGACTCGAATCTATTGAAAATTTGTGTATGGGATTTTTCGGGATCGGAGATTATGATTCTTTCGTCAAATTTGAGAATATAAGATGACGGATCCAATATGGCAGACAAGTTTTTTAATAACGATCCGATTCTACTCAAAATTCGTATTTGGGGGCTTTCGAGGTTTAAGAATGTGATTCTGTTTTGTTAAAATTGGGAAATTAGTGATGGCGGATTCAATATATAGTGGAGCAGTTTTGGAATTATATATATAATTCGATTCTATTCAAAATCGGAATCTATTTTTTTGGGTCGGAGATTATATATGATGCTTTTATCAAAATCGGAAAATTCAATGAAGCGCATATAATATAATGTATATATGGCAGACGGGATATGTTGTATCTGGAGGTTGTTGGGGTAGGAGATCAAACTAGAAAGCACGCTTTTGTAGTAAGCCGCCGAAATAAAAAATAGAAACCCTTTCATAGATAGTCAAACTAAAAAGAGGTAGAAAATAAAATAATGAAAGTGTGTTGATAAATACACAACATAAAATGTACTGATTACGGAGATGCTAATATTTTCTTTGTTATGTATTTATCAGCACACTTTTATTATTTTAATTTCTACCTCTTCTTAGTTTGACTGTCTATAAAAGGGTATTTCTTTAGTTTTCGCAACTACTATTTATATTTACAATAATTCAGAACCTATAAAGCATCTTTGGGACGAACAACGGAAGCGCGTTTGTTTCCTTTTGGCCTTGTCATGCCATCAGAGACTCTTCCAGAACTACGATTCGTTCTTCAGGAAGAATTTGAGGTTATATTTCAAGACTGTTTGGGAAGTTTGATCAACTTGATGCCACGGCGGGTGAATGCTGTAATTCAAGTTCGAGGATAGTATACCTACTCATTATTGACCTACCATCTAGGTCTGCTTTTTGTTTGTTTTCCGTACTCAGGGTTCTTCCGAGGGGTCAACCAAGTCCAATTCCGATGTTATCCGTCCAATCTTGCTGAACGGAGTATCGTGTCATACCATTTCCATC